CCAACCTTTTGGATTCTGTCGTTCCTCGAATACATAACTTATATTTCCTCTAAGAACTTAAAAAGCACTAAACTTTATATTTATCATTAAAATTTGATTAAAATGAGTAACAAAGAAAAAGAACACTATGTATCGTAAGATAAACAATTTTAAATTATGAAAATATATAGTTTAAGAAAACACATTAAATTCAACACTTTTCTATCTAAAACTGATGAATCATATAGAATACATTAAGGGTATGGGGGTATGCATACATCTGAATCGCACACTGCGATGTGATGCTAGGGACGGGGGCGTGTTGATGTAAACACCACTCCTTCACCTTCACCCCACACATGTTTTAGCCAACCATGATGGTAAGTCATTGTATCCTACACTTTTTTCTTTCATTTGTATTGTATAACTGTATAAGAACCTTTAATATATAAAAAATGAAAGAAATGAGAGGTGATCAGTTCCTAGGTGACAAGGGAAGAGATGGGGGAATAGTGGGGAGTGACGTGGTATTGAGGTTACAGGGAAAAAAATTAGAGATATGGTTTTACCACATCTTTTAATGTATTATATTTCACAGGTAAGGTTTTTAGTAATGGGAAGGTGAACATTGCCCCAAGAGGCATGAAACATGTTTGGCATCCTATGGTGTGAGGAAAAACACGGTTCTTTACACCATGGGATAGGGAAATGGTCAAATATATAATGTTGAGCATTTAAAAAGATTTTTTTTCCAAATATTTCAGTTTTACAACTATAAACACGAACAACACTTCCACACTTTTATAGTCTCTATTATTTTATCACCTACAATAATCAAACCATGGACCCAAACACACCAAATTTTGATTCACCCCACCAGTGATCATTCTTGAAATTCAATTGCATTGTGTTAATGCCAAAGACCTAAACTTTTTTTTTCCATTAACGTACACCACCACTGTTCTTTCTTGAACGAGACCATAATTATGGAAGTTCAACTTGCTTCTGTAGATGTGCACGATAGCTTTAATATCCATGAACCAACTTCGGGCCTCCACTAATCATGATGAATCCTACAAGACCTAGGTTTTCTACCAAGTGAATAATCTCTTCGACTATGTTTGTTGATTCATGTGTAGGATCAGATGTGTCATTTCTGATTCTTATTGGTTGTTGTTGGTGGTTGGTTGTTGCGTTTCTTGCTCTTGAACCTAACTTTGCTCTTTTGACTAGAATCCCCTTCTGACAATAGTTGATGCACACTCAATCCGATTTTACCCTACTTATCCTTGCTGCGAGTCTCCTCCTCAATTCGAAGGTGCTTCAACAAATCATCCAAGTAGTCATTGACCTTGTGCATCATCCTCTTAGATAACTCTTTCTAGTATGATGGCTAGTTTGTAATAATCACACCCATTTGGAAGTCTAAGTACTTGGACACTAGGCACTTGTTCCTACCCGAGACATACAAAACTTTAATTATGTAAAAGCTATGGTTGTTAAAAGTGTTGAGTTTTATTCAAAACCGGTTTTCCAAAAGCATTAAAAACGACAACGAAAGTCTAAAATTATGAATAAGCTTAAATTTTTTTTTAACCTACCAATTATCATTTTGCAATCAAGGAAAAATTAAATTAACCATAGAAAGAAAATCTCTTTGATTCTCTTCGATGCCTTCGAAAAGTTTTTTCTAATAAATTGTCACTTCTAAGTCATTGCTTCTGAAATCCTACACCTTGCATTTAAAAGAAACAAAATGTAAGTCGAATTGCTCGTGAGTTACATGGTTTTAGGACTCATTAGAATTTTTTTTATTTAACTCATACTTTGACTTTTCAAAATACTTGATAATAACTTATATCAAAATGAACTATAATTACAAAGCATGTTTAACAGTTTTAGTATAACTTATACTAAAACTAATCTTCATGCAAACATATAAGATACAATTTGCATTATCATAAACCTTTCGATAAAACTTGTTCTCAAATTAACTTCATACAAAATAAGCAAAATCTCTTGGATGCTCTTACACTAAAAACAAATTAAATAAAACTTACGGGTTCTCCCATCTTGTAAATAAAACATTTTATACTTTGATAAACTCGAGTTATCATGAAGATAGTACAGTCGAATCATTAAACAATAGAAAGCATATGAGTTCCCCCGTATATTAGTCTCTCCGATAAAAATAATCTCACGGATTTTCTCCGTATTGTTTCTTACCAGAATAAGAAGAATAAATCAATTTTGCGGCGGGATGTATCATCCCAATAGAGCCTTCTCTTCACGTTATGGGGACATTTGTCTAGACTATCTCAAAATGAATGCATTTGTGACTTGAAGGCTTGATTAGCCAAAACATTAAAATATCAATCTAGCTTTGTATGTCTTTAAATATGTGTCTCGTGGCAATGCTTAAATTAAAACCTCAACATATATTAAACATCAAATTTTTCAAGCAAACTTGAACCTTTATTAGTTATTCATAGTAATGAACCAAATTAAAAGCCATAGTCTCGAATACTTTAAAACTTATGACAAAGATTCAGATATTACCCAAACAATAAATAAAATTCTTATGTGTAAGATGTTTCATGAATTCATCATAAAAGTTCTAGAAAATAACTAACATAGAAAACTCATTTCATATTATACAATTACTTAAAACCACATCTATAAACATTTATAATGCTTGCAACACATAACTTAAAACAAGTATCATGGCTCTTTCTTGCAAATATTTCTAATCATATGAAAATTGACATTAATTCATAGAGAATAACTTGTTATCCATGCATCCGATGATAAAAATCCACATATACTCACATCGATAGTTAGGTTGTCGGACTATGTATCCAATACCTTCTTGCCCTTCCCTTAAATTCTTGAATCTTTAACTCCTATGGATTTGATTCATCATATCCACATTAGATCAAGGTATCAACTAATCATACTAAACAATCTTTCATACATCTATCTTGGTTTATTGTCACTCCGTGATATCTATTATAGTTCTTGCCATTTTATCACATGTTTTAATTTCTAATTCACGACAATGACAATTGTTCCTTTCTTTCACAAACTACAAGCTATATTAACTCACTAGGTGTGCAACCCGTGTATTATACGAACTGATTTAAAAAAAGATTAAACATTAAATTAAAGTACAAACAGAAAATATTTTTTAATGTATAACTTTAGAATAAAAAAGAAAGAAACGTATTTATTACAATTTAATATCATATATATATGATATTTAATATTTTACATATATAAGTATATGACTTTAATTTTAAAAATCTAAACAAATCAAAAATTGATAAATGAATAATATTTATTTCAAAAATACTACAAAATGATAAGTGTCAAAACTAATAAAAGATTGACATTTGACAAAAAAAAAAAAAAAAACCTTTATTTATTAAGAAGGATTTGAACTGTAAGTAATCAATAGGTCGATAAATAACATTGAGAGTAAAATGTTGATTGATTGCAAATAATAAATCATATTATTATTATTATTAAATTACCAAGTCTCGTTCAGTAATCAGATTGATCATTTGCGAATTTGTTTTATTATAAGAAAGATAGAATAAGACTGTTCCATTATCAGTCAAATTAAAAGACAGAACAAAACAAACAAATCCAACGTGAATATCTCAAATTAGATTTTTTATTGGGAACTGCACCAAAGACCTCTTATCCTTAACACCCCGTTCCCGAGTTGTAGCAAAGAAAAGAAGAGAAGAGAAAAGAAAAGAAAGTAAGGAGAGAAAAGAAGAGAAGAGAAAGGAAAAGAAATTTGTTTTTTGTGTTCCCGAGTTTGAGAGAAATGGAAAGAAAGTTAAACATTTTGTTATTTCTCTCCAAATCCTTCCAAATCGGAAGGAAAGTTAGGAGGGAAAGTGATCCCTCCATTTCCTTCCACTTCCCTCCTTTAATGAAACTCGGGAACACCAATTTCTCTTACTTCCACTCATTTCCTTTCTTTTCTCTCCTTAAATTGAACTCGGGAACGGGGTGTAAACCCTTAAAGGTTTTTACAACACTACAGCTGTAAGCTTCAACATAAACCCCCAAAATTTAATACAAATTATCTTTCTTTCCATCGGTCATGGAAGAACCAATAAACACAGTGAATACTCAAAAAGACAGAAATAGAGAATCGGGAACCACCTGCACGTTGACCCACTAAATCAAGGCATGCATGTTAGTTTAGCCTATCCATTGGCCCACTAAATCGAGGGATGCATGTTGGCTTAGCCTATCCTTTGGCCCACTAAATCGAGGTATGCTTGTGGGCTTAGCCTATCTTTGACCCATTAAATCCTTTGAAGACAAAGGACAAATGATTCCTTATAAACCCATTTCAAGTTCTTATAAACAAGCCGACTTTCCTACTTTTATATTCTCCATCACATACCAAATTAATAGATAACTGTTACTACACGTATTATATCACTTTATGTAATAGTAATATAACAAAAAAAAAAATTACTGCTTTAACCCCACATGTTTTATCTTGAATGTATTGTTGACTTCATAGTTTTTGAATCTGTTGTGTCTTTGAAGTCGCCATATTATTCAAATACTTGCTAATTTGACAAGGCGACAGTTTTTCATATTTAGTTTAACACTATATCATGCTTTCATTTTAAGTTACATGGTGAAAAAGAAGGCACCCAAGGATAGCTACTCACACCACTCATTCTCCTCATGCATCTGTTTTGGACTCGTTGGTGAGTTCAAAGTCACAGATTCTAATGCTAAAGCTACATAGATGAGTGATCCATCAAAGTAGATTTTGCTAGTAGTCGACACCAATTAGTAACAAATTAAATATCCAAGTATAAATCTTTCTTTCCTTTGTGGGACCACAATTACATCAAGAAACCATTATCCCGCTTGACATCACAAATTAACAAAAGCACATACTTTCTTTTGTAATGTTGTCAGCAGATCTTTCTTCCCATGTTTATATATAAAAGCCAAAAACCCCACCCCACCCCACCCCACACACCCACACGTGTAAAAATAAACATATTCATATATAGATAGTTATATACTCCATCCTTCTCACACATCACTTTCCAACTAACATGGCTATTAATAGTATAATGACCAAATCTTTATCTGCATCACCTGACATGTCACTCTTCTTTTCAGATATACAGAATCCCCACAAATATAGCATGCTAAAAACTCTTCTTTTTTCTCTTTTACTTTTTGCATTTCCATGCTATAAATACGTAGTATATACTAGTATAAACACCAAACACCAAAGCTTTTTCCCACCAACAAAATCAAGAAACCAAAGCATGTGACTTGAGAAAAACACAAGATTGGCAAGACTAAAAGTCAATTTCAATTTTCTTTTTTCCATTAAGGGGAAGAAAATCTAGAATCTTTTCACCATTATGCTAAAAGCAAGATGAACATCTAATATCAACTTTTTTAGAAACTACACACGTCTTAATCAAGATGCCAACTTTCAGAAAGGGGAAGAAATTAAATTACATACCTGCCATTACTCTGAGCTGTGTTGATAAAAAAGATTTGGTAACCCCCAAAAGCTTCCTAGTATCTTATTGACATGTACAAAAAAGGTTATATACTTTGTCAAAAGTTAACTTAGTTCAAAATATCAACTTAAGTGTTAGTTAGACAAACATTGGAGGATACATAAGGGTGGAGAAAGGAGTGTATCAAACTAATTATCATAGTGAAAGACAATATTGCCCTTGTGGCACTACGCTGGGCATTTCACTAGCTGTAACATATCTCTGAGGGTTAAGTTTCTGCACAGTGGAAGAGGCTCCACCAGATGATGACGTGTCAGCAGTTATAACCAATGGCCCTCGACTATGAAACTTTGCAAAACGATTGATCACTGAAAACTTTTCCAAATCTTGAAACTCCACCTTTATATCAAGAATCGAAGATCCTTCTTTCTCCCACCTTCATTCAACATTTTATAACTCATTAAAATATGCAAGTAAAACCATAAAACATAATATGATATTGTTATTTGTTACCTCAATAACATGTCTTCCAGCCTCTTTGATCTATCAATAAAACCTTCTACAACTTTTAAAAGACTACCCTGTTCAACACTGCTTCTAGAAGTCCTACATGCATCACCCAGACCAAATTTAGCAACATAGTATGTGATTGTATCACAATGTTTAGTAGCATCTTCTGAAATGACAATATTTGGTGCAGATTGAAACAACATTTGCATAAGTTGTGTTGTTAAGATAAGTCTTCTTCTCTTTCGGTCAACAATTGACATCAAGTCTGCTACTTTTTCAGGCATCCGGTTTACAGAATTTGCCCATTCCAACTCAGCATTGCTGCAAAACAATGAAATTGTCATGGATTTAATAGACGCATGTACTAAGAAGCTAATGGGGATTGATCTGGTACACACCTGGTATCATGAAGCCTTGTAAAACCTTCAGTTACTTCTTTATGCCATGGAAGCTGTTCAAATGTAGAAGCTTTTCTCTTTTTTGAATTTAAAACAACCATATTCTTTTTAGCCACATCTAACTGCTGCAAATAAATGGAAGATGAACGCGATGCAGATGATGAAATGGGTTGACTTTTATAATTCCCACAAGCAGAATTCAAATGGGAAAGTGAGGTTACTTGAGGGACTGTATTGTCATATTCCACCTTTTCTTTCTTTATCATCCTGGGATCATAGTTCATGGGTGCTTGATTCAAAGAACACACTGCATGTCCATGATAACCACTTTGGTGCATCTTACCAGATTCCATCTTCCTATTTGTTGGATATGAGGTACTAGGAGTAGGAGGGTTTTGTTGCATAGGTACATCCATCCATTTATTCGGTTGTCTTCTTGAAGATGCAACCTGTTGACCAATTCCTGGTTTGACCTCAAAAGTTGACTTTTTTTCACCATCTTCCTTCTTCACTGAAACAGCTGATCTGTCCATGAAACCAGACATACCAGAACAATCACTGTTTCTAAAAGTTACCTCCTCTGGTAAAATGTTATACAGCCATGGAGTTTGTTGTTTCCCACTTTCCAATTCCACCATATTTGAAGGCTGGTTTTCATTTGAGAGTACAGGATTCTGAAAACTCAACCCACTCCACTCTTCTTGTACACCAGAATCACCACTAGAGGCTTCTGCTACAGCAGTCTGCTTAAGAGCACTCCAACTCCCACTCACATATTCCATTCCACTTTCTTGAATTCCACAGAATTCTTTGTATCTATCTTGGTTATTGACTTTCTGGGCTTTCCTTGTTTGACCTCCACCTTGAGAAAAAAACTGTCCTTGAAACTGAGCATGCAGAACTTGATTTTGAGGTTGTGAATAAACCAGTCTGTTTGGTAATCCATGAACCAAATTTGTGTCACCAAACATGAACATTTGGGATGCATCACGAACTTGCACACCATTATTTAGCATTCCATATTGAGTCATAGAGGAATACTTATTATGATGCATGGGATTTTGTTGATGGGCATCATTTAATTATTGTAGGTTTTTTTGCCTCTTGAGTTCTTATAGCTGCTTGAGCATAATTTGTCTTTCCAACATTTGAAACGCATTAAATTTGAGACTTCTACCTATAAACAAATGTGAAAGGAACATTACACTTTGCAAGAATGACCCATTTTGGACAAAATTTACCATATATGACTTTTCTTTTGCATTTACTTTTTTGAAATTTGGCCAAAATCATTTTTTTCTTGCAAACTACATGTTTTTTTTGACATGGAAGATGGTTAATTGGATATGAGAGGAACAAAAACTAACAATGCAACTGAAACACATATTACGCATTTCTAAAAATTTAAGACACATAGAAGCTTCTCTTTTCAACCAAATTTAGATAATATTAGCCAAGCTTCGGCAACGAAACCAATTTCATTCATATTTTTAATTAATTTAATGTCTTTACGCTAGGTAAGAAAACAATAGAATAGTATAAATTCAGGAAGTCCCATTGTCTCAATCAACAACAATTTCAGGAAGGAAAAATTAAACCAATTTCAAAGAACACACACTTATGCACTAGAACCAAGCAAAACCCTATGTAGCAAAAACACTCGCACATGAACTTAGGGCCCAAATTATCAACTGACAAGTTAAATTTGGGGCAAATCCGAAACTCAAACCCCAGAAAAACCTCTGCATGAAACCAACCTTGAAAAGTTTCCTAAAAATAGAAAGAAAAAATAATAATGTCAAACTATTTATCCAAGAAAATGCTAAGCTTTAGCGGAATTACAGCAACCAGTACAAAGTTATTTAGCGTACAAGCTACAACACAAATGAAGCCAATAATCAGCTAAAATTGTGATAATAATTTATAAGGGTTTAAAGCTTGTGATTCAAATGGAATTTCTTTTTTCGGGGTTTTGATGAAAATAGTGTAAAAACTCTTACTTTGGAAGGTCTCCTTTCCTTTTAATGGAGATGAAGATCATCAAATTTTTTCTGCAACTGCACACGGAAGCAGCAGAATGCACCTTCTTTCTTTCTCTACTGCTTTCTCCCTGTATGTGCACATGTGTGTATATATATGCATCTCTTACTTTTTCGCACTAATTTCAACACACTTTCTCTTTCCAAAACGATGAGCGAGAAAGATGGATTCTTTTTTCTTTTTTTCGGACAAAGGTGATAAACACTTTGGTTATGGTTTTTTTTTTACTTTTTTATCGGTCTAGGTTCGGTTCTGAACCTGGAGGCTTGGTGCCGAGGCTGAGGTCTGGTATTCACTATTCAGATAGAGATTGAAGCTGAGGTTAGGGTTACGACTTACGAGAGATGTCGGTGTAGTGGTTTTAGCCGTGGATTTCGATATTGGGGAGATCAGATCAGACGGCTGATTTTGAAGAGCTGTACCATAAAATCTTCCCTTTTTTTCTTATCTTTCCATTAAACTTTGAATTTGATATAGGTTAAATACTATAAAATTCACTGTAAATTTATATAAATTTTCAGTTCATTGATTAGAATTTTTAATTATTTAATCATAAAATCATTATTTTTTTTTCTTTTAAAAGGTGTCTAGCAAAATTTGCTTATATAAGCTATAATGCAATAACAAAAAATAATATTATAAACTATTTTTATGACTGGTCGTTAATAACTTAATAAACCCATTTGACAAACATCCCTTTAGAAAAACTAACTGCGTTGAAGAAGTTTTTTTGATAATTTTGCTTAACAAAAACTTTTAAATGATATAGAAATCCAATGATGTGTTAGGTGCTGTTTGTTTTTTCTGAGGCAAAATGTCTGCAGTCTGCGGACCACATCTGTAGACCTCTGCAGTAGAAGAGGTGGACCAAACGTCTGCAGTCTGAAAAAAGAAAACTGTTTGTTTTTTTAACATCTGCGGGCTATTAAAATAAACTGAAATCTAAATAAACTGATTTTTTAAAACTTCAAAGCGAATTTTTTATATATTTTTACGACTTTATTATAAATATATAACGAATCTAGATCAACTTTTATGTATTATTATATAAAAAATAAAAATAAAAATGGTATTAATTCATATACATATTTGATAAAAACCAACAACTTTGATTGCAAAGTTATAACTAAACATTATAATTAGTGATCAAAGAATTTGATACATAAATAGATGGAAATAAACTTCGGTTTTTTCAAATAAATCTATTAAAAACGTACGATAAATATTTTCTTGAGAAATTGATGATACTCTATTAAATAAAGTTTTACAAAATTTTGGCAAAAAAATATAAGAATATATTATGATTTTTTTTTTCATATTTATATAAACAACTTCAACGACTATTATTATAATAAATTTTTATTTATAAATTTGTTAAAAATATCATGTTTGTATCGTCAAATGTTTTTTTTTAAGTTTTGTAATTTTTTTTTCCATATTGTTTATCATTAATAAAGTTGAAAAAAATATAAATTAAAAAAAAAACTTAAAAAAAATAAAGATATATATGTTTTTTTAAGCTAGAAGATGTCTGAAGATGTTAGAAGACTCTGGTCCACATCTGCGCCAAGAAGAGGGCGCGCAGACATTTTTAGGTCTGCAGTCTTCAAAAAAACAAACAGTCTGCGAAGACTAATGTCTGCGCGTGGTCTGCGCGGCGCAGACAGAAGACGTCTCGCAGATCTGCAGACAAAAAACAAATACTACCTTATTTTTATGATGTAACCGTCTAATAATCAAATAATCAATAAATATTTTAAATTTATATATTAATTAGAGTTAATTACATCTTTGGTCCTTTTGGTTTGTATGTAACTACACTATTGGTCCAAGTATAAATAGTGATGGGACATAGTTAAAATAAAAGGGTATCACAAATTTTTTATGGTAATCTAAATTTTTTTTCCAAAGTATCACCGCAACATAAAACGAATTTTTCAGAAAAAAAAAATTGCACTATTGAAAAACAATTTGAGAGGGATCCTAGGCTACCTCAGCCTCTACATTGGATCCGCCTCTGAGTATATAGTTGATATGGATGATTTTATGGTTTCCAAGTGTTACACTGAAGGTCCTTTGATCGTTACATGTAATAGCTAAGATGTTATTTTCTTAATATGATTATTTTGCCCTTTTATTGATCTTTTTTTTTAAAAAAAAAAATTATTTCATGTTTATCATTTTTCCAAAAATGTCCATTATCACCGATTAGCATCTCCAACTATCACATCACGAATCACCACCACCACCACCACCAAATCATACTCTTACATGTATTACAATTAAAGGAACACAATCAGAAACAACAAACCTGGACTATCAGGGTACAAACTAGATTAGAGACCTAGCATCTTCTTAATGCTCAACAAAACAATGCTCGCTCACATATCTAAAGAGAGAGACATATATATCCCGTGGTGAAGGGTTGTTTTGTCATTTGTTTATTATTTATTTCAATAAATAAGTTATTCATCCGTCTTTGTTTTATAAAAATTATTTTGTCTGTGTGTGTATATATATACACTACCTTATAAAAGAAATTTTATTATTTCTATAAATATAATTAATATAATAATAATATTTTTTTAAGACGTCTAAGTCTTTAAGCTTACAGTACAACTAACTATTAATATAATAATATTATAATATATATTTTACAAATGATAATGTTAGGGATACAAGTATTAAAAACACATTTAAATTAGTATTTTCTTATTTTTAGGGATTGCATTAGTATTTTCATCAACTTTGACCCAACTTGTACTCCTAAAATATCTCTTCTCTTGTATCTGGTGCATTCGAAATCTGAAACACTTTTTTTCGACAAATCGTTTGAAATTTAAAAGTTCATTCAAATTGGAGTTCCCTAATTTTTTTGCATAAAATATAGTTGACTGGAGACTAATTCAAATCTCCATCTCCTTTTCCTCCATGGAATCCACCACCATAATATTTTTTGGTTTTGGCATTGCACTTTTTATTTTTGTGAAACCGATCGATAATGGTGCAAGTGTTCTTAGAAATATAACATGTTTCCGAATGGAACTAATTGCTTGAAAGAAACTATTCGTCGCCGCCGTTTTGCGCGGATAAACGGCTAGTGTGTGTGTGTGTGTGTATATATATATATATATATATATATATATATATATATATATATATATATATAGTACGCAAATAATTTTACATACTGACATTTTGTATTAGCTTATTCACTCGAAAATATAGGATCTAACGTACATACCAACCTCACTTGTTATATATAAGAATGTATAATAGTGTTTTTTTCTACATATTATAATGATATGTGGCTTTGCCGCATCATGCGGTAGAGGAGACATGGATGTGTCATATGAGGGGAATAACACATCCTTTAGGTAAGGGGTAGTGTGGTAGATCCCACGCACCATAAGACTATACCATATATATTTTCTTTATTTTTTTTTTAGTTATTATTATATCTTATATCAAAATTAAAGATATTTAATTTCCAACAATAGAATATAATATTGATATATTATTTTTATATTAAAATTAAAAAAATAAAGTGAAAGGATTGACGATATATGGTAAGATCATTTCTTATCAGTTTTGTGGGGTGAGAAAATGTACGAGAAATTGATGTAGGTGAATTATATATAAAGGTTAATCAATTATTATCAGTTTTGTGGGGTGAAAAAATAAGGATATGATAAGATGATGTATAACTCTACCCTTATCATAATAATAATAAGGGTGAATTATATAAAAAGGTTAATCAATTATTGCAACTGTCGATCCTAGAAAAATGGCAAACTTTGTGAAATTTTCTATTTAAGGATACTACATCTAACTTTTATTTCTATTTAAGCCAGTGAACTTTTTATTTTGTTCTTAGTCAAAGGTAATCAACTTTCATATTCTTTTCTATAATTCATGGTTTTTATTGGATAAGGTTGTTTTTAAGTTATCGTTAAGTTTAGCTTTTGCATGTTAATTGTTAAGTTGTTAAGATTTAAAAATATTAGTAGTTACTCAAAATAGTAAACTTGAAAAGGTAAAATTATTTGTTTTTTAATTGGTCTCTTTTTTATATAACAACATTACGATTCGTTTAATGCTTGCAAAATAATTTGGAATATAATAATAATAAGCTGATTCCAATGTAGAACACATAGGGGATGTAGCTCAAATGGTAGAGCGCTCGCTTTGCATGCGAGAGGCACGGGGTTCGATCCCCCGCATCTCCACTATTCTCTTAATACTGTTTTAATTTTATATTCGATTTCATACCCCTGCATCTCCATTATTTTCCTTTTCCAAAAAGTCTGCTCTTTGGTAAATATAGTGTGTACAATCTTTTTTATAAACAGTGATTAGCTTAAAACATGTATCCTACGAAATGGTATTTTATATTCGATTTCATACCCCTGCATCTCCATTATTTTCCTTTTCCAAAAAGTCTGCTCTTTGGTAAATATAGTGTGTACAATCTTTTTTATAAACAGTGATTAGCTTAAAACATGTATCCTACGAAATGGTATGTTAAATTAGTATATATTTTAACTAGAAAGTCTTAGATTATTATTATTATTATTATTATTTGTTTACATTGAGTTTCCTTATTGTAACGAAACAAGTAGATATAAGTTATATGCACCTCAAGGACAAACTTTTATTTATCTAAATCTAAACACTAATAATATATTTTAAAAAAAATCGTCAACTATTGATCAGATTCCTAAATTGTTCCACATAAAACGCTTATTCTAAAGCATATTGGTGTTGCACTTGTTTAGACGAATGAATATTACTTATTAAGCAGTAAATATTACTGAATGTTCCATTTAGTTATTAGTTGTAATTTCCTGGAATATGGAAGTTATAAAAGAAGTAGTGTACTAGATTCTGAACCAAATCTGGTAATCCGAGGGTTTATCCAGGAACTTTTGCCAAGTCCCATGAAGATCAATTTGTTTTGAAGGATTCCAATCAAAGTGACCAAGTTTGACGACCAAGGTGTCCCCTATCTGGGCCACATACCCATCGCTATTTGCATGATGAATCTTGACAACACTCCTGCAGTGGATCCCTGCTCGTTTCCTAGCCTCAATTAGCTCCGTTACCACATCATGGATCCCAAAATCATAAAAATGGTCATAAAACACCACAGGCTGCAATATATAAAATATAAATCGATTAAATCTATAACAGAAAATATCAAATAATATTATTCAGATGGAACTTACAGTCCCCGGATGGGTTAAGATGTAAGCATATCCTTGCATAAGTTTATCTCGTGGAAATGGCCAATGTCCCTGTATATGTATATATTAAATACCCATGAGACCAAAATTTACATATAATGTGATATGTGACTCTGTGTGTGTGTGTGTGAGAGAGAGAGAAGGAGGAGGACTTGACCTGTGTTGAGCCGGTATCATGATTTTCCAAGAAAGTGACAGCACGTGAGGGCCACCATCCCATGACTCCTGGTGGCTTTCCAGCAGGATCTATTAATCTCCAATATTCATTATGCAATGCCGAATGAAGTATTCCCTGCATGGACTCCACTACAATTACTAATCTACATAATCATATGTACCATACTAATCATTATCAAACACGGAATGGAATGTGATTCCTTCTTATAGTCTCTTGATGGAAATATGGAATATGTCTATATGCACTTTTTTACCGATATATTTTTGTGTGATCAAAGTTCATTTTTATGAAAAAACAAACATTTTCTTTTTTTATTTATCAACTTAATTTTCTAATTGTACATAACAAACATGTTTGAACGACTCATTTCATTCCCTTAAGCCAACCAAAAATGATAATCGAATGTAATGATCCATTCCATTCCATTCCATCAAGTAGTTTCTATTTCCTCTTGAAAACAAACGATGTGATAATTCTCATACCTTTGTTGTGACATCAAATGCAGATGAGGTACCACCAGTGGCATTGATCCAGTTTATTACACGTTGGCGATGTGCATCTGAGAACATATTAATAATCCAAATCAGCTCTTAATGAGTAATTTAAATGAAACACCAAAACAAACACAGATTACCACAAGAACTAGAAAAAGCTTCACTTTTCAAGTTTTCAGTTTTATGTTTCTGTTCTTTCCATGTGACGTTTTATGTGGTATCTAAGAAAAATGCATATAAAAGTTACCTTGGTTGTAGCACAGATTACCACCTTCATAAGCCATACTATCCCAATACTCTCCAATGGCAAATGCAGGATTTGAAGCTTCAATGTATTCTTTAACATATCCACCTGAGAAACCCCTATAAAGATGAATAAATTAAGAGATAACATAAATAACATAAGAATCGGCTTGTAAGAAAAAAAAAAAAAAAAAAAAAAAAAAAAAAAAAAAAAGACCAAAATAGCCTTTGACCTCACAAAGTCAAGGCGCCACCCATCATAACCAATATTATTCCGAAGCCAGTTCAGCCACTGTTTTACATCATTTCGTACAAAATCCTGGGAATGATCAATGTTTGGTGCAGCATGAAATATGTCACCTGCAATTCATAACAAGAAAAACACATATCCTTACATAAACATAGAATCTATAATCCATATTTATATTTGTTTTAGAGAGGTATAAACATAATCAATTATTCATAAATCATAATCATACCACTTGAAGGATTTCCACGACCTGAAAATTTGGATCATCACAAACAATTGCTTCAGGTCCCAGGGAAGTTTCCCGCCAAAAATATTCCATACTCCATTTTCACTCTGTTTATGAGCACATCTATGATTAGTACAACATCTCCCAACGCCTGTAAAAGATTTAAAAAAAAAAAAAAAACATATTTATGTATCATCAGATTTTCCTCCAAACTATTTTTTAAAGATGACTAAAAATACCAGAAGATGGTGATGGTGCATCTCCTCTATGCAATGCTTCAGCTCCTCCTGTGTCCATATGCTGAGTTCAAGTTGTATAGATCAGAAGGCATGTATCCTGAAATCATTCCATGAAATGTATCAACACTTTTTATATCATGCCATGTAATTTTTTTTTTTTTTAATTTCAAAGTAAATGTTTTAAGTCATAAAGACCTTGTGGAGCAACAGATTCAGTTGGAGGAGGTAACCACACTGCTGTTATACCACAGCGAGATAAATCTGCAGCCTTTGGAGCCAGATCCATGTACCACTTTTTTCTACAACTTTCCCAATAAAACCTTGAAACTATGGAAACAGTTTATCAGAGATCAATGAAAGAACAAAAATTGTAGCAAATTTATATAAAATTACTAACCACTATCTCACGTCCTGGCCAGTTCCTGGCTCTGTGATTTGTGAAGCAAAGAACAAGTCAAATTACACATAATGGGCAAAATAAATAGAAAAGAAAGATTAAAAAAGAACCTAGTTTTATTTCTTCTGGGTCTTCTGCCATTGAATGGTTTTTCGTTGCAGAGCACGTTCTAGAGACTTCCGTTTCTTTTCAATTAACTCTTTCTCGATCACATGTTCAATTAATGTGTCCCCATCTTTTGGCTTTGCTTTTGCAATTGACCATACTTCAGAAGGATTAGGCAATTCCAAAGACTTGAATTTGATGTGTTGACTTCAGAAATGTCAATCTTTTTAGGAGGAAACTTAGGACGAACAGAGCCTATCCTTCGTGCCATCCAGTCTGGTATTTCTCTACGTGGTCCATCACTGAGTAATTTTGACTTTTGAGAATCATCATCAACTACAAGAGCTAGTCTTCCACCATTATCAACAGTTATTGAACCTTCTGATATTGCTATTTCCTTTTCATGCATTATGCCATGGGTATCAAAATAGTGTCAATAACAATGATGTTCAACAGCTTACAACTAAAGGAGTATAACATACCACACTGCAGCACATAAAGTTACTTGATTTGAACATGCGGTGACTTTTGTGTAAGCATTTTCTGCAAAGATTACATGTCGGAGTCTAACAAATTTATGAACATTGAAAGTAAGGTGAGTAAGAAAGGTAATATAATAAACCTTTTACTATTGGAGTGCTTTCTACAGTTGAGTGTGTATTTCTTGGACTGACATACGATTTAGATCCACCGATGCCTGAGGAAACAAAAAGGTGGTGTGGATGGGTCTGGCAATATCTGCTAGTGAGATTGTAGCCATTTATTCCTGTCAAGAGAATGAATAATCATAACAAATCCTAGAGTTAAAACTACAAATATTATCGAGTATTAAATTACTACAGGGAAGTAATAGTAACAAAGTTTTCACATAATCAAACTGATAAACGTGATTAATTTCTCCTTAATCTGGAAACCGTATGATCATGTCACACTAGCACTTCTAGTAATGTATCTATAGGTTATTTTATTAAGCTAGGTTAAATGGTGCCAAATCACCCCTTCCAAGAGAAAAAAGAACAAGCAGTTTCAACTACGAAATTGAATTGGACGAAATGGAGTATAGAAACTAGTTAGTCTAATCAACGTCAGATGTAAAATCTCACAATTATACCAGCTGAACGAAGTCAAATCAAACAGACATACAAATATAAAATTAAAAAAAAAAAAAAAAAAAAACAGTTCAAAGCACACACACATTAAAGCATATAGATTATAGCATGCATAAACATTTGCATTGAGCATGTAAAAATTCTAATTTCAAATAGAAATTCAATCCATACAAATTAACATACATTAGTGATTACAGAAGTAGGTAGAGGAATACGAGATATCTCTGACCTGAAATCGGGAATTCAACACCAGAAGCAGGCTGCTATAAAGTATCTGGGTGGTTAATCGAGCATTATTTGCATTTGGCAGCTGCAACAGTGTTTCGATACAATTATCAATGGATACATATCGTCATTTATGTAAGTATTGGCGACGAAAACGGGACTTCTTAATTCCTAATGGCGCGGAGAAAAAGGAGAGAGACTTTTCGGTGCTGGTGCCGCACACGGGATCTCGCCATAAAGCACTCTTTGCGTAAATGACCTTATTACCCCCGCAAGGAACGTGAGTCATCTGGAGTTTTATACTTACAAAAAAAAAAAAAAAAAAAGACAAAAATGCAAAAATGGTCCCTGTGGTTTGTTATTTTTTGTGGATATGGTCCAAATCTTTTAAAAATTGGATTTCTGGTCTTATTGAAGGTTTGTTTGTGGAACAAGTCCCTGGGGTTAACAGCCGTTTGTTTGTGGCTGTTAAACCCCTCACGTGCATTGCACACGAGGGCATAAATGTCTTTTTACTTGAGGGACCATTTTTACAATTCTTGAAATAATATATAAAGACTTCCCAACGTTCTTCCCCAACGTTCAAGTTCTTCCCCAAACGTTGTTCTGCAACTTTCAAGTTGTTCTTCATTCTCTCTTCCATCTCTCATCTCTCTTTGTTAACAGTGGGGTGTCAGTTAATCACACGATGGTTCTCTGTTTTTGTGGTAAGTTTGCTGTTGTTAAATGCTCATGGACACTGAAGAACCCAGGCAGACGTTTCTATGCTTGCCCTCAAAAGGTAAAGAAATTCGTTTGCACCCATTTTGATTTGTAATCAAATAACATTTGTTATTTTCCCCTTTTTGAAGGATTCTGCTTGTCGCTTCATCGGATGGGTTGATCCCCCCATGTGTGAAAGGTCTAAAGTCATTATTCCTGGACTATTGAGAAATATTAACCGAATGCAAGCTTGGTGCACAGCTCTAAAGATCATGTTGCTGGCTAGTTGGGTGTTTTTTGTGATTTTGTTCATAAGGTCTGTTTAGGTTTAGGTAATAGGTCAATGGGGTGGGTTTTTATTTGTTGAAGATCGATAAAAGTGTTTTTTTGGTGGATTAATGGTTTTTGGTACTTTGACCTAGGTTCTTTGTAGTTGTTTGTAAGGTCAAAGTAAGTTGTTTATGTAGTAAATGACTTCCTGATATAAATATGAATTTTATGGAATTGCTTATGTTGTTTGTAAGGTTATTTGTAGTTTTTGCTTATGGAATTGCTTATGTTGTTTGTAAGGTTCTTTGTATGAATTCCAATCAGTTGGTTGTACTTAACAACTGCCTTTTGTCCCAGCTTCTCATTTTCCAAATCTTCATTTTCTTCATCATCAAAGTCAATGGCAAGAAATTTGGACAACTGTTGATTTTTGTCTTGCTTTGACAAAAATGAATTTTATGGAATTGCTTATGTTGTTTGTAAGGTTCTTTGTAGTTTTTGTAAGGTGAAAGAAAGGTTAATGTGAATAATTGACTGTAATGGTTATAATAAACAATAATAACCAAAAACCATAATAACCAAGGCTGCAATTACATAATAGACTACAAGCATATAGTGCAATTACATTATCCCAAAATATGCAACCATATATATATAATATATATATATGTTCTAATACTTATCATACTAATGAAAACCAAAATAACCATAAGTCATAAGTTTTTTAACATCAAAACACTTCCAAAAGTAGCAAATAACATCTGCCAAAACAAACACAACCTTGATCTTCAACTTCCACCTAACTTCCACCTCCTTGACCTTTGCATGTCCTTGAGTTGTGACCTTTGTTTTTGCATTTTGCACATGTTACACTGACATATTTCCTTGTTAATTTTTGAACTCCATCAGGACCCACTTTACAGCCTTCTTCCTGACTTACACCATGAGTACCAGTCTGACTTTGACTCCCTCTTTGACTCTGACTCAATTTTTCATCCTCACTTTTCTTCCTCTTCTTTGTAGGCCTACCTTTGCTTATGATGTTGGAGGGATAAGTGTTGTGGGACACAAACTTTTAGGCCACATTATTCTTCCTTTTATGGGCTCTACCTTATAAGAATATGCATTCTTCCATGTATCCAACCAGTATACCTTATTGACCCACCTGTAAATGTCACCAACATCCTCTGAGTTCTTGGTCATTTCATAAAGGGTTGCAATGGCATGTTTACATGGGATGCCTATTAGCTCCCACTTCCTGCAAGTACATGTGTTGTTCCTAACATCTACAACATGTTGGTCTTGCCATGCCCCAGTGACTTGGTATTTCTCACCCCCATTCCACCTAGCAATGTAATGTGATGCATGAGACTTGTTTACATCCAATATGGTTGTTGCAGTGGGTGTTAAAGGCCCTTTTGCCTTGTCCATCACCTTCATAACATTATAGATTCTCTTCATCAGGTATTTTCTAATATACTCCAAACAACCTATGATAGGCTTATCTCTTCCCTCTATTATCTTGCTGTTAAATACCTCACAAAGGTTGTTTAACAGTATATCAGAGATTGCTCTGCCTGTTAAAAAAATTAACATATTCTTTTAAGTACAAGTACACATTTAACATATAGTAATTTATGGTAATTTATGTACCTGTAAAATGGCTTCTTGCCCAGTGTTTTGGAGGAATCTTTCTAATCCATTCACATGCCTCCTTGTCATAGTTGCTAAATTCTTTCATGCAATGCTCAAATTCAGGTACAGTGGTTGCAGTTGCACATCTCCATAAATGATCCTTGTACTCTTTAAATTTCCATTTCACTCTCATGTTCTGATGTATGTGCCTGAGACAATACCTGTGCTCAGCACATGGGAATAGTTGGGCTATTGCTGGTATTAAACCCTAGAACAATAACAAAAATTAAGTATTTAGTTTATATAATAATAAGTAATTAATAATACAAGTTAGAAAGAGATACCTTTTGTCGATCTGTGATAAAAGTAAAGTTAGAGTTTGAACCAAGATCCAAGTCTTCTCCTAAACACTGCAAGAACCATACCCAACTACTTTTGTTCTCTGTCTCAACAATGGCATAAGCAAGGGGGTAAATACCATTGTTAGAGTCCAACCCAACTGCTGTTAGAACCTGCCAGGAAATGGTCCTTTCATATGCGCACCATCGAAACCCAAAAGATCCCTGAGGCCAGCCTTAAAACCTTTTTTCAGGGGACCTAAGCAAATGTAGATTCTTTTAAACCTCCTCGTTGGGTTTGATGGGTTTTGTTCACTGTAAACATCAATCTTGACAGTTGTGTCAACATTGGTTGCTTGCAATTCAAGGACATAGTCCCTCAAGATCTCATATTGTTTCGTATAGTCACCCTCCACGATCTTAGTAGCAATAGCCTTGGCCCTGAATACTTTGTCAATAGAAATACCTACCTCGAAGTCCTTTTGAAGTTGTTCCTGCAATGCTCGAAGAGGAATCCCTGGATTCGTGTCGATTTGGTCCATGATTCGCTTGGATATAAAAGTAGCAGTGCAAGCTCTAATCTTCCTACTTTGAAGGCAAGTATGGTTGTCATTTAATGTCCTTACAAACCAGGGAGATTCTGTGTTTGACCTAGAAGCATGAAGGAACCAACTACAGTTTACTTTTTCTGAATTTACCTCTTTGCCCTTGGTTTTATTTTTGGGATTAAGGCCAACCACCCCACTTGCATTGATGACAGGGACTACACCTCTACACAATGCCCGAAGTCTAAGCTTGTCATTCTTTTTATAATATAAATTCCTCCTAGTTTCTAGTGCGTGCATGTCAATTTTTTCTTTCAATTCTTTCTTTGATTTAAACTTTTGCCCAACATAAAAACTGGCCTTATGGACATTGCCAAGACTGCATCTTTTCTCCTTAGCCAGATTTTTAAGAACACATCTTCTTTTCCTTTCATCTTCTGACCCTTCATCTAAAGAATCCCATCTATCATTGTCAATGACTTCTATGTCCTCATGTTCATCATTTGTCCCAACCCCGTTATGAAACCCATCCATTTGAACACAACCATAATCCTTATCAAGATTGAGGTTAAAGTCAGTCATATCCACCTCCACTTCTGATACATTGTTTTCATCATCAACAAGTTCATCATATTGTTCTTCTGATTGTTGCCTAAGATCATCACTGTCAGCAGACTTTTCATGTTCAGACTGATGGTCTTCAACATTCTCATCTTCTGGTGGTTGATAATGTTCTCCATCAAAAGGATCAAAGTGATCATGAGAAAAGTTCTCATAATGAAATTCATCATAATCAAAGTTATCATGGTCACCACCTTGATCTTGTACCACATCATCCATGTTAGCATGCTCAACCTCTTGATCTTGAACCACATCATTCATGTTAGCATGCTCACCAGCTTGATCTTGTACCACATCATCTAATTTAGGATTCTCACCACCTTGATCTTGTACAACATCATCCAATTTAGCATGATCACCACCTTGATCTTCTACTACATCATCCAATTCAACTAAACAAAGCTTTTTGGCACAAGAACTTTGACCAACTATTGAGTTCACCCTTCCATTTCTTCTATACTGTGGTGAAACTTGTGTAGGGACTTTGTCAAAGAGTATCAAGGACATATACCCTGCCAACTGTGTTTGATCATTAGCTTCATCTATCATTGGGGTTTTATCCTTTGCTGGTACTTGAGGTACATTTGCTTCTTTTGGAAGATCACCATCACAGAGCTCCTTAATAATAACTTTTTGCTTTCCTTTTGGAGACATAAAATAGGTCAGCAAATTAGTTTTTCCATGTTCTGTATACACTTCAATGACCTTGTTATCTCCAATATACTGAGCCAAATTCAAGACATCATTATCATTCCCTAAAGCTCTGAGGCCAAAATCCAAGTCTTCATGAGGAATCCTAAAATGGTAATATATTACTGGGGGTACAAGTAACCTAGCTCTAGCATCATTGCGTCTAGTTCATGAACTGAGAACTCATCAATGTCTACTAAATCAATATATCGCACTTCACCTTTAACATATTTCGTGTTTGGAAGCTTCGTAAAATTTCCACCATGGTGTAGCTTTATGCTGAACATTGTTGGTACACGCTCTACAAGATACAAAAAACATTAAGTAAGAAATTATCAGATGTTTGTATTTTTGGCTCTGTTCTTCAGATCATCAAGAAACCTAACACAATTTCGTAAACAGAGGATAAGTGAAACTAACCATATTCATTTGTGATGTCATACGTCTCGCCTTTTGGCCTAATCGCCCACATTACGAACACCATTTACAGTTGAAAAGCAAAAACAAGTAAACACCTTGGACCAAATCTTGATTAGGGTTTTTGCGTTCAAAACGAATGACGAAGAAGATGGAAGTGGAAGAGATAACTAAATATTTTGTGATTTTGTGTGTAATATGGCGCTAAGACTGTAACAAGCGGGTTTATTTCAGGAATTGTAAAAATGGTCCCTCAAGTAAAAAGACATTTATGCCCTCGTGTGCAATGCACGTGAGGGGTTTAACAGCCACAAACAAACGCTGTTAACCCAGGGACTTGTTCCACAAACAAACCTTTCAATAAGGACCAGAAATCCAATTTTTAAAAGGTTTGGACCATATCCACAAAAAATGTCAAACCACAGGGACCATTTTTGCATTTTTGTCAAAAAAAATATTTAC